CAATTGTATCTCAAAATAATTTTACTTAAAATATGATATCTCAATCATCATTTGCAAAAGAGACCTTACTTTAGAAGTGTTTGCTGAATATGAGACAAAACAAAGAGAAGACAACATAGTGGTGAGTACTCACCATTTCTTCTCACACTATCTACAAACCAGCCTAGAGTAACAATAAAGAGACCATTCCTTGATCCATGCTTTAAAGCATGCTCAAATTTACGCCCATAAAAACTGTTAAATTGTTAAGGATCAATAATGAGTTAAATGACCATCATTTGATCGGACATTTCATAAGAATAAGAATTGCTTTAAAATTTTAAACTAAAGAATTTAAGCTACGCTGGAGTAAAAAAAAATTGACATTATCCAAAGGATATTTGAACCACCAGATGAGTGCATTGAGGATGTAGACTGGAGCTGTAATTACCACCTAATCTCTTTGTTGCAGCCATAACCTGCATTCTTGCTTCTGTTATAGAGTATGAAGAAAGTCAGACATGATAACCACAACTATTCACAAAAAAACAGATAATTCTAGCAGGATTAATTAGCCATGCAATTTGATGTGTAATGTAATTCTCAATTTCGTAATTAACTATCTATCTTCTACAAGAAAAAGAAGTACTTCCATCGTGGCTTGCTTGAGAATTGAGATAATTAAAATCTCTAGTTAGAATCACGAAGCAACCAGAATCTTCCCCCGCCCCCAACCCAAAAGAAAAAGGGGGAAAAAAACAATGTCTCAAATGGTATTAGCCTCGTTACTGTGCAAAAATGTCAATACGTTCAGAACAGTTCAAATCTCCATATAACAGAAAACATATTTTTTTAATAGTATCACTAGGCAGTCTAATAAAATTGAATCCAGAAGTTCCAATGCTATTGCATACAAAATAAGTTCATCGGCAAAAATCTAAAACCATAACCAAGTGCAAAAAGGTTGTCTGACCCTAGGGTAGGATGAAATGAAAAAAATTGGGTTATGACTGCAATCTAGTTTCAGTGGAAACAAAAGCCCAATGAAGCTTTATGTACTGGTAACGGTGTTTTAAACCTGAGTCAAAAGGAAAATAAAGGTAACTAATTATTTGGGAAGCAAAATGTTACAACTTTATCAATACTGAAACTACATATCTTGTTCTGTGAAACCGAAATAACACTTATTTCATCTTGAACGTCGCCAGTATCAATAGGTTGTCTCTCAATGAAGTCTATCCTCTAGACATCTAGATAATAGTAGGCAAGCTTAATAATTAGTAAAAAATTTCTAAGAAATATGTGAAACAGGAATATTCCAAATGAATATATCTAAGTGAGTATCAACATTGTACATCCATACAGGATGCCAGACATTTCTGATAGTGCTTGTCTCATTATAATTTTACTATTTTAGTAATATAGGTCCTGTACGGGTTTTATCTATTACAGACATCCAATAAAATTGGAGATTGTATAATCTAGGGGAGTGGGGATGTTTTCCTTTCGTCAAAGAAAATATGCAGAAGCGAGCAACTGTCCTTATTAGGAAAAAGAATGACATGGAATTTACAAATGAGTCTTATAATTCAATAGCATGTCAAATATTTACTTACAAAAAGTGAGGAAATTTCAAAAGCTCAAATCAAACAATGTTGTGTGTCCAGTACAACATATTGACAAGCCTTTGGTAATTAATTACATTTGGCTACCTACTTTTTTATAGTCCAGGTGATATGAAGGTAGGTCTATCTACCAGCAAGCTTGCTAGCTCATTATGTGATAATTACATGTATACATCTTCTTATTTTAAAAATATGCACGCACTTCGAAATGCTAAATTACTTCTGTTTTTTAATAAAATTAAGAAGTATGGGCAGTATGAACTACCATAAAAAAAGTAGGCATTTACTGTTTCTAAGGATAATAAATCTGATTGGCAATATATAACAAGACAGCGAATTGAAAGTTTTGAGGTTTTAGTTATTCACAGAGGCTATATGTACCAAAGAATCAGTATGCCCGAAGTGGTGAAATCTTGAACAAAGAAAAAACTGTGTGAAGAAAAATCTGTGTGTGTGTAGAAAAGAATTAGTCCATCGGATGTGTCTGTGCATGTGTGTCTGCGCGTGGGTCTGTGTGTGAAAGCTGACACCCACATCTTAAGCAAATATAGGGCTCCTGACATGTCTCTTGAATGATTGAAGCTAGCACATCATAACAAACTACAGATACTTTTATGCAAAATCCTACCATCCTCCACACTCCTACCATCCTCCACTTCCTTACCTCTTACTCTCAACCCTGATTTACCAATGTGAAATTGATTTTCTAGGATTGCATTACAAATGGGAAAAAATATAAAAAGAAATTCTGTTCAAAGCTATACGTACAGTCAACTTTTTTCCACAAAGTGCTGAAATTTCTAAATGTCGAGAGCTAAATTTGAAAGCATCCTTGCAGAGTTAGTACAAACATGAAACCCAAAGGGGCCTGTTCAATGTATCCTCTTAATAATGGCTTCAAATTATTGCGACTGATAAAAGCATTCCAACTTTGTTTTTGTAGTAGTTTGATACTTGTACATGTTTCATAAGTCATAACCAACAGGACGAACATCACTACAAAATGATCGAGAATCGCAAAAAGAAAAAATATAGAGAGAGAGATGATGTGAACCGTAGTTACCTTTTGAGAGTCCTGTAACACATATGACTAAACCAGCAAAAGGTCCAGGTATCAAAGGCTCAGAGATGGCTGAAGAAGCTGGCGGCATAATATGGGTGAGTCTAAAACCGTTCAGAGAAGAAACTGATGCAGAAAATCCATGAAAGAGCCTTGAGCAGCCGTTGCTATTGACCACATCCACTCTCCCGCTGGTCATAATAATAGTAGAAAAAACAGTCTTCTTCCTAACATTTCTAACAAATTATGAAGCGATGCTTAAGTTTCGCGAAGCAACAACCTTTGTGGGTTACACCTGCAAAAAGAAGGATAGAGAGATTTGCTTTACCATATCTCTCCAAGAAATAAGAACCTCATATATATACCAATAGTTTGAGCAATAAATAGAAAATAATTGCTGTAACTTCAAATTCTACTGACTGCAAATCCTTTCATTAACTAGTAAACCAGATGATCACCTAAAAAATCAATTGAATCGCATCGGAGACTATCGAGAAAATCCTAGCTCAATAAGTCCAACACCAAAGCTCTTGAAACGCTCTCCCACTCCAAAAAGGCCAAGAGAATGAAGAGATTGACTGACTAACTAAAACTTAAATCAATTTCAAATCTTCACAGTAACTCAAGAGTAAGAAAGAACAGACTCATATTAATATCAAATTTCTGATTATCAAAGAGAAAACACATTTGATTACCTAAAAAAGTGCTCCAATTGCATCCAAAACCATCGATAAAACCCTAGCGCCAAAATTTCAAGCGCCAAAAGATCTTGAAACGCTCTCTTACTCCAAAAGGCGAGAAGAATGAAATCAAGAGATCAACAGTTTCATCGAGAAGCGAGAGATCTGAGATCGAATTTTGAGAAAAGGGGTTTTTTTTTCTCCAATCCAACTCCAGTTGCGATTGCGACGGTGAAGGGAACCCCACGAGTTTTTGGCTCTCGTTGGGTTTCCGTTGGATTTTTGAAGGGGTCTTAACGGCAGAGATGAGAGTACGAAAATGGACGGTTATTTGGAGTTAATTACGGGACAGTGCCATGGGTGATGAATATGATTGGTTGTGGACCGAATCTGGTGTGTGCCTTGTGAGACCAGACAGCGTTTTCTTGCGATAACAAACTTGTCGGAATGATGGAGATGTTTGAGATCTAGTGGTTTTGTTTATTGATATTTAGCATGTTGCGCGAACTGAAATTTAAAATTTTATCTTTAGCTCTATCTACACAAGTTATAAATTTATTCATATCGCAAAGAAACAAACACTTGTTTCGCTATGAAATGCATTTATTGAAACAAAACATTCATAGTAATATTTTTCGTAACTAACCAAAAAAACAAAGCAGATTTTGAAAAGAATTTTTTTTGAGTAACCGAACCAAGGCGTTCAGGGAATTTATTCGATAGGAAAAATTGTACATAATATGTACGAAAATAAAAAAGATAAAGGAAAGAGGAGTACAAAAGGAGGAGATAAGATTAAAAACTAGAAGAGGAAAATGACAAATATCACTTCCTCAATGAAGCTATCATGTTGTCCCGACTCAAACATCTATTCCGTCTTATAGGGTGATGTTTTCTCATACCAAAAGGAAGACGATCATACAATCAAATAACGAATAGTATTTGAATTTTTGATTTATTCTAAAACACTCTCTCGTTCTGTTCATTCCAAAAGGAGGAGAGTACCACGCAAGGACAACACAAATCCCATTGATTAACGAGATGCGAGGGGCTGTTCTGTCGTCTAGAGTCCCAAAGTGCTGAAGCGGATAAACAGAGTTGATTAAAGCAATAGTCGACGAGAATAGGACCCAAATATTAGGAGAGTAATATAGAATTTGAAAAAATTCATTTCGTAAAATAAACAAATACTGCATATACCATTTCCTACATGCACCATCTGAGGCATAATAGCAAACAGCCCCCCGTAATGACCGCTCTATATCGTTAAGATTTTGCCGAACGGTACAAGCCATGCTATAATTGGATGCACAAGTGTAGGCAGTCAAAAGCCGAGTAAATTAATATGCTCTGTGATCTTCTGAGGCTTTTTGGCTTTTACAAGCTTTTTTAAGCAAAATTGCGTGATTGTCGTGTTCTCGTGATTAAAGCGAAAGGGGCAGCAGTAGGCAAGACACCGCGGTCCTTTTGAGGACCAAAACGGTTGACCCGCCAAAGCGGGATCACCAATAGCATTACGTTGTACGTACATAAATTCTGACCGAGTGGATTAAAGAAGGGAGAGTAATAAACAGTTATCTGCAACTTTCAAGTTTCTCATGCCCTCATCATCCGTAAAAAGACGCTTGGAAGTGACATGGGTGGCCCCACATAAATGGAGAATTAATTTACTAGTGGTATCTAGAAGAATTTAGGTGAGAGGTTAAAGCTCGTGACATTGAGGTTGTGACGATTATGAAAGTGTACAACAAAGTCTATGACCAATATAATGGTGATGCAGACATGAATATATAAGTGGGGTACTTAGATTCATATTTGATTATCCGAATATATGTGTCAATCATACATTTGACGTGGTTTTCATGGTTAGATTAATAGATAGATATAGATTTGAGGTTGATTTTGATGATCTAGAGATCTGATGTCAATCTTTCAAATATGTTGAGTGTTTTAATAGACTACCACTAGATAAATTTATATTTAAACATTTTTCATGCTGTATGAACATTAGTCTTATTTCTTTTCCTCGTATATTTTGTATTTGTTCAATTGATGTGTGTCTGTATTCGATTTTGCTGAATATTGGATATGAATTTACACTACCGAATCATATCTGCGTTGTTATCTGCATTGCTCATTATGAAGCAAGTAAAAATATGGTAAAAAGAAATTTAATTTGTTGGTATATATTTGACCAATCAAATCCGTAAGTTAGTGCAACATATAAGTAAGCTACGCATGAACTCTTAAGAGGGGTTATTGGTTGGTGTAATTTTAGGGTAAGTGGGATAGTTTTTTGGACTTTACTTTATGGTGTTATTCATTAGGGTAATGAGATTGAGATTTTACTTTAAGCTGTTATTCATTGGGACTACGAGATTGGGACAATTACCCCCATTTTTTCCCAAAATTTTCCCACTTCTATACAAATTTTTTGTCCTAACCTCCAAAAATTACATCATTCTTAACTTTGGGATAATCATGAGGAAAGTGGGATAATTTTGAAACACTAATTTATTAAATATCTAATATATGTTAATTTTATTATAATATATAATATATCTTAAGTATATTATATTATAAAATTCTGTTATAATGTAAGATAATAAAATATTATAAAATATTATCTAATATAACATTATTATTTATCATTATTACATATTGGTTAATAATATTTCATATATTATAATATTATCATTATATTATTATAATATTACTGTTACCCTCATGGTTATAAGCCTATTCCCTAATCTTGTTTTGATGATTACAAATAATTCCTAATATTGTGCGTCGAGTGCTTGTATTTGTTTTGTTAGGTAATCTACATAAATATCTCTGTCGGTGGTTGGTTGGATTGAGCCTACACAAGCACATCAAACGGAGGTTGGCGGTGTTGTGCCTTGAAAAACCAAAACAATCGCCAAGAAAGATAAACAACCAACCAAAATCAACAGCACAAACAACCAAACACCAGTTTTACGTGGTTCGGCAAGATGCCTACGTCCACGGGGCAAGGAGGGGGGAGTTTTCACTATTAGAAATCAAGAGGAACAAACTAGGGTTACAAATCTCTCATAAACCCTCAACAATCAACTCTCAATCTCTCCAATTGCTCCTAGAATAGAAGCCCAAAGAAAACTCTCTCAATCTGCTCAAATTCGTCCTTGCTCATAACCCTAAAAAACACCCAAAGGGTATTTATACAAACCCAAAACGAAGCGGGTCTGAAAACAGGCAGCCCAGCCCAAAACAGCGTCGGTCGACCGGACCGGTCGACCGCGATCAATTCCGGTCGACCGGCCCGGTCGACCGACCAGCTCTCAGTAGAAAACCCAAACTCCAGAGAACCGTCGGTCGACCGCACCGGTCGACCGATCTCCTTCCAGACGCACAGGAAGCCTTGTGCACGAATGCGGTCGACCGGGCCGGTCGACCGCCACCCTGACAACATGAATCCTGAGCTCATCTCTTCAAATCTCCACCTCGGCGAAGATTCTACCAAACTGAGCCGACACCGATCAAACCAATACCTCAACTGTTGCACCCAGTATGCCATGGCAACGGACTCATGACAACGGACTCCAATCACAACACGTCGAGATCCAAACCGGGAGTGCGAACACTCAACCCCAAACCAACTGTGTCTACTCACCAAACAACTGAGCCTACACCGACTACACCAAATGCCTCACTTGCTGAGACCCAAATGGGAGTGCGAACACTCTCCCCAAATGTCGATGTCGCTCACCAAATCGGCTGCATCATAAAGACTGCCTACGTATCCTCTTGCCCAAGGAATCAAGCCTTCACGTAGTTCACCCAATGGCCTCCAAAGGCCCTCAATCCAACCTGCAGCTGATAGCATCATCAACGACCCCAAACTGAAACGATCCAAACACGTCCACCTGAGATGTAACAATGGCCGTATCCAAAACATATCCATCAGCTGCATCCAAATCAACTACCTCATCATCTGCACCCATAACTAAATGACTCCCACGCTGTGCCACCTCAGCTGGAATCCCAACCAATGCAGAATGACCTGGAGTATGTGAGGAAATCCTCACCTAATGTGGAGTAGCATCAACCTCCACCCGCTGCGATATCCCTCTGACCTGATCAATACTCTCCACCTGCCGAGAGTCCAAAGTGACAAACCTGCTCAGACCAAACTCAGAAGCTCCCCACTGATAGCCGAATGAACTCCTGAATCCCAAATGCGCAATCGGATCCAATCTCACATCAGCGATGTGAGCAAGTGCTGGGTAGCCCAATATCCGACGCTAACCAAAATCTAAAGCAGCTCCACTAGATCTAACAACTCTATACGCAGCAGTCGGCAACCTCATAAGATGACCCAAACCTGTCGAAGCCTGAATACCAGATCCACTGCTCGACAACCAATACCGATCCTCCTCCAGAAAAGAACGGCCCACTAAATCCGCCATCTCATCACGTCGCCCCACTGTCTCCTTCCCTCTGAAGTGTCTCCAACTGCCGTGAGCTCGGCACCAATGCAAGAAAGGACTCCTACTAGAATAAGTACGACTGGTAACCTTTCTGCCCATACACCTCCTCCAACTGTTGTGGACTACTAGGGCTTTATACCAACGGGACTTGGTTATAACCCAAATATGCCTAGTACAATCCCCAACATAGGAAACAAAATAACGATTACCTCCCGATGATGCCTCCTCGGAAAGCCCCCCAATGCCTGACTGAACACCTCCAATAAGACCCCTCGATCGGTGGATAGAAGTGCTGAACTCCACCTCGGTCTTCTCGCTCATACCAATGTGCTTACAGGACTTCAATCTGCAGGTCATAGCACTCCTCAACAATCTGTGCACGGTATAACCAACAATATATCCCAGCACCAAACAATGCCACAGTCTAGCCATAGAAGTAGTCAGCGCCCTATCAACTACCGTGCTCCCAAGTAGATAATACAAGTTACTCCGCCTGACTCCCTTCATCACAATTATGGACCCCGATGTGACCTTCAAGCGAGAATCCGCCAAGATCACCCTATAGCCTGATGCCTCCAATACCCCAAGTGAAATGATGTTCTTCCTAAGTTGAGGAACGAACCTCACATCAGCCAACTCCCGGATCATCCCGTCACTCATCCGAATCCGAACGGTACTGTTCGCGGGAAAAATCGTAGCTTTCTTTGTTGAATTCATTGTTCTCTTTTACAACAGTTTATCGGTTACAAAAGATCCGGTCTTTTTATAAGATCCGGTCCCTCTTTCCAATTCCTGAAAGCTGGAGAA